CATTTATTTTTTTTATTTTGAGGTTGTCTTATATTTTGTTAATGATTGTATATAGTGTGTCTATATTTCTTTGTGTATGTTTGAGTGTGTATGTGTGTGTGAAAGAGAGTGAGAGAAAGCTAGTCAGAAAAATGTGTATGTGTGTGTGTGAGAAAATAAGAAAGCTAGATACGAAAATAAATGAACAAATAAAATATTAGGTCAATACGTTCTGTAATTTATTGTTGTCACCATTTAAAATTTCAATTAAATCCAGAATAACAATTTTAAGTTATATAAGTTTTACTACACTTGAAATTATTTGCCTAAAATATCTATATGTGTATGTGTGCATGTGTATGAAAATATACGCATTCGCAGGCTAAAAGATAGTTATGTAAAGACTGAGATGTATTAGAAAGAAAGAAAGCAATGCAAGCAAAAATGCACCTTTGCCAGGTGACTGTCATAAAATGAACAGAAAGAAGACAGGTTTGCTTCACATGATTTGTAAAATATCTGAGTTTTCTTGATATTTTTAATAACACTTTGTCGTTGCTTGGCATCTGTGATTTTGCCGAGTGCTTTTCTTTGAGATGGAAAGAAGACGTTTCGTAGAAAAAAAAAATTATGAAATTGCCTCTCTTTATATAAAAATCTCGAAAGTGTTATTTTTCCTGTTTTGTCAGATCCATTAGGCAGAGAGTGAAGTTTAATAACTTAAGTGGAAAGTTTGACTTGTCAGGACGATAGACATATATGCATACGATCAGACACAAAATGTTATATTGCGCTTGTCTTTGAAATATTATAAGAGACCTTTGTGTAAATATACACATATCAATATACACAGATGTATGCACAGAAGTAAAGTCAAAGGCTAAGATATGAAATATATCTAAAAAAATACATATATGTGTGTATGTACCATTACATACAAATGAATAATACAACAATACAAATGAATAACATATCTATCTATCTATCTATCTATCTATATATATATATATATATATATATGTGTGTGTGTGATTTATATATATATATATATATATATATATATATATATATATATATATATATATATATAGAGAGAGAGAGAGAGCGAGAGAGGAGAGAGAGAGAGAAATGAAAGGAACAGTATTTTCGATGATTCATTGTATGTATCGCAACTTCTACGTTTATTTAGGTATTTCGTCTTTTCTTAACCATCCACCCTTGTATTTGAGGTTGTTCATATCTATATATATATATATATATATATATATATATATATATATATATATAAGATCCATTTCTATAGTAGTTCTTACAAGTACACAAAAATATATATCCAATTAAGAAATGAAGATTCTTATTTCAAATATATGAAAACCTGAAACCACAATTGAAAATGCCGGGCATGATCTTAATTCAAACATCATCTCTCATTACGGATTCAAAAATCTATATATACCCAAATAAAAGTTAGTATATATATATATATATATATATATATATATATATATATATGTGTGTGTGTGTGTGTGTGTGTGTGTGTGTGTGTGTGTGTGTGTCAGAGAGATTACTTTTATTGTCCATCAGAATCTGTAAATTTAACCTAAGCTAATGTCATTCTATATGAGATTACCATGTCATTCTTGCTGGAGATGTCACCAAGTTCAAAGTTGAAAGGTGGAGAAGTTTTTGTCACGCGGGCCATTTTTTTTTTAATTTATTACTATTTCTTTTCAATTGGCTTTTAAGTAACGGGATAAGATTTGGCACGGTAAGGAATTTCGAAAAAGAGATAAATAAATAATAGGATAACGGTAAAGATATTGTGAAGAAAATCTGCTTGGTTGGTGTGATGAAACTGAAAGTGAGGTAGCTGGGGGCTAAAGATGAGAGCCGCCTGCATTGAGAGTTGTCAACCTCGGCTTCACTCAGAAACAAATTAGATACGTTTGACATCTGAAAAATGCGGAATCCTCCTCTGGCTGGAAAAGTATTTTTATATTGGGAAAAGCAGTGGAAAAGAAGTAGGCAATACGAACAAAATGAATAGTTAGAGAAGTGATAGTAAGTGGAAGAGTGGGATGGAAAACGGAAAGGAGAAAGATCAAGTATTGATTGTCGTAATGCACAAGCTATATAAGAAGTGTTGACGAATAATAAAGAAAATTTGCTCCAAAACAAACACGGACACAATATTTTTTCAACCTTTACTTTCACTTTCAGTTTCACTGCTATTTTTCATTTTAAAATCATTTAACTGGTTCTTTATGTCTTTTATCATTTGTATATGTTCAATCTGATCTTTATTAGACGTTTCATTATTCCCATATCGCAAATTGTTTAATAAATTCTTCATTTCATTGTTGGGGACCATTTCTTTTTTTTTCTTTTTAAATTGTTTTTTTTCATTATTGATAACGTTTTTTTTCTGCCTTCGAACATTGTGTAATTGATTATTTTTAGATTTCGAATCTTCGTACTTGTATTGTTGTTCCATTTACACTTTAGGCAAAAACACGCATGCGTAGACACCCATTCACAAACACGTGTTGCTGAGTAAAGCTTCGAAGATTATGAAGTTGTTTGCTTAACCTGTTGACCTCTGAAGTTATTCTTCCCAGTGTCTCTCTAGAATTCCAAACATTAGAGGAAATCACTTCTCCAAATTATGAAGGATCCAGTCCCTTATTTTCTAGATTGTTTCATACTTTAAGAAAGCCAGTACATCAAAGACACACATACACACACACACACATAATAATAATAATAATAATAATAATAATAATAATAATAATAATAGCTAACCACTTGCATACGAGTATGTCTACCTAAAAAGCTGTGTACCCAGTCCCTGTTGCTGCCGCCTGCTCCAGTTTTTTTGTATTTGTTCAAAACCCAGAGCCCACCTGTTGACAACGATGCTGACCAGAACTTAGTTACAGTTTCAAGGGGTGGGGGGGAGCATTATCTGGTATGTTCAACGGTCTTAACAAGGTCAGTCCGCTTTAACTTTCGGTCAAGTTGAATTATAACCGTGCTAATTGCAATAACAAGTATTGGATAATCTCGTAGAACGACTGTCAGGCACTTTCCAAAGGTGCCGCGCGGTAGTATCGATTCCCCACGAAAAATAAGAAAGAAACATTCCCGATAACCCAACCGTGGCGTGTGGCCGAGTAGTTCGAATGTTAGCTTACCAACCATGAGTTCTAGGTTTGGATCCTGCGCACACTTATATCTTTAATGTCCACTTTTCTATTTAGATACGTTTATCCCAGATATTGAGCACTTTAAACCATAAATAAAGCATACCTTAATAGTATATCTTAACTTTTCTATCTATCTATATATACAGATATATTGACCCTCACGCATTTATAAGGTATTTTATTTTTAATGAATAAATTGTATATTATATATTAAAATCTGATAGGAAAATAGAAATCAATAAATATGGGCTTCCAGATACGTCAAAGAGAGGACGAGCTTTCTTCCATAAGGATAATTGACCCTAATTTTGCTGTTAAGCCCTTAGTGTCAAATATGATTTTTCTTATATAAGGGAATGCTGTTTCGAATACTGCAGAAGAGTACAGCCTCTTGGAAAACTCAAGCCCATCGATGACGATTATACTATTATTAATAGAGATATTTGCTCGTATACAAGACGTGAAAATTGAGATTGATAACACGCATACACACATATAATTAGACATGTAGACATTTTTACATGCCAAGACATATGCAAAAATAGATGAATATACACAAACTAACAAGAACTTACACACACAAATACACAGGCATACACTTCAAACAAATAGATATGCACACTCACAGACATACACGTAATGCCAGTGAAGTCAACTTTTTTATTTATTGATAATAATTATTGACCCAGATATCACTTGAATACGTACTGATATACGCTAAATTATATAATTTTACGTATATTAATAGGTGTTATTATTACTGTTATTATATATATATAACACCCTTGAGCGCTTAGCCTTGAAGCGGGTAGAATTGAGATCAACGTGTTTTAGTCTTCCACTTTAAATTTAGACAATTTAAAGCGGAAGATGATATCGTCTAGTTTGCTTAACTGTTAAGTATCTATGGAGATTTATTTATTTTTTTATTTTATTTTCTTTCCTGAAAGGGTTTTGAGTATATAAAATGTCATAATTAGCTAACATTTGTTTTTTTGACGACTTCATAATGGATTTTTTTTTCTATATATTATTGTGTAGGGCTTTTAAACTTTTTATTTAGACTATGGAGTTTAAAATTTGTATTTATTGTTTAATTGTTTGTTTGTTTTTTATGCTAAATATTCAATGCGAAAATTTGATGATGTCGGCAAAAAAACGTTAACTCATGTCTATTGTTTAATAAATTTTCATTATTTAGAAACTTGATAATGTGTAGTTTTTAATGTAGGCATAAAGGTCATGGGTCATCCCAAGTTTTACATGTTCTAGTTTTGCTTATAATTTTCCATTTTATTTTTGGTGTTTTCTAAAGTTTCAAATGTAGATCAAACGCGTCGGCAATGTCTAAGAAATATTTTCCAATTGTCTCTTATATATATATTTGTGTGTGTGTGCGTATGCGTGTATCTATCTGTCTGTTTTGTGTGTGTGTGTATATGAATGTTCGTACATATATATATATATATGTATGTGTACGCGCACAAAGGTTCATCAATAAATCCGTAGCCTAATGTTAATAAAATCATTATACAACAAATATATTTTGGTAGCATGATGCTTTCTTGTTAGTCCACTTGAAAGACACAACATTTCTCCATAAAACAAATACCTAGGAAAGTATTCAGTGAAAAGTCAAGCTCAAAATTAAACTGATATTAGAAGTTATCGATACATGATGTGTGCGTCCTATTTTCTTTCTATTTCTTCGTAAATAGTTTTTCACCTCTACCCAGAAAATGATTTCTTCTCTTCACCATGTACTTTACTTACTTTTTTTTATATCCTTTATTCTCTTTTTTTTTTGCTATTAAGTGAATCCCGTTCTCTCTCTCTCTCTCTCTCTCTCTCTCTCTCTCTCTCTCTCTCTCTCTTTGGCCTTCTATCATTTTTCATACCTCCAAAACTACATTGTTTTTTTTTTTATTACTTTTTCATTATTTCTCAAAATTACATCACACGAATTTTCCAAGAATTGACGATATTTCTTTCCCATCTATCCCTACCTTTCTTATTCTTACTTTTTATCCTTCTCCTTAAAAACTCTAAACTCATATTGTCACTCTTCCCTTCTTCACCAGCTACGGCGCTTATTTGTTTCTTAGCGGCGTTGGGTTTCCATAACTCTTGCAACTAAATAATCTTTATTCCTTTCGTTTTTCTGACGTGTGTGACCCATTCATCTTTTTCGAAAATGTCTTTCTAATTTTGATCTTTCTTTTCTCCTCTCCACAACTTATGTTTAATATTCAATATATTTTCTTTCTATTTCATTGAAACCTCATTTTATTGAAAACAGAATCTAACAAACACTTCGTTTCTTTCTTTCTCTTCTGCTGACGCGCTTACAATTTCTCTCTATTTCCCTCTTTCTATTCCTTTTCCTTTCTTTCTCTTCTTTCGTCCAGATATTTTATTTCTCGTCCAAATCGATCATTCTCCAACCTACACCAAATCTCTTATTCATCCCCTCTTTTTTCCTTTTAACTATTCTTTCGTTATAGTTTTTTTTGTCCACCATTTTGTTCTCTTTTTCTTCCCTTTCCGTTTTCTCTTCTTCCTTTTATTCTCCATCCCAAATCCCTCACTCCCCGACCAATTCCATCTTTCATTTTCTTGTCTATTTCCATAACAGTAGAGAAACCGGTCCGCTCAAAGCAAAGAATTTCTTGTCACCTTAAGACGACCCAATCCCAAACCAACCCATATTTCTTTCTTTCCGTTTTTTTTTTTTGCTCTCTCCAGCTTTCGATGGATTTTTATTCGTCTCTTTCTTTTCTGATTTTTTCTTTGAATCTTTTTGCCATAATTTTCACCTTCTCAATTTTTTAGTTTCCATATGTATTTTTGTTCTTACTTTCCTCTGTCACCCTTTCTTTTTTATATTTCGTCTTCTTCTCTTCATAGTCCTCCCCATTTTCATTGTTCTTTTCTTCTTCGTTTTCTTTTCGATTTCTATCTTCTTGTATTTCTCTTTGCTTTTATTATCTATTTGAAACATTTCTCTAGTTATCTCCCTTTCTGATTTTTTTATTCGTGTAGTTTTCTTCTTCATCTTCTTTGACTATTTCTTCTTCTTTTTTCTATATTTCTTTTCATTCTTCTCTTTGTTTATCACACGTTCTACTTTTGTTTTTTCTTCCGTTCGCGAACGGATTTCTTTTCTATTTAGAAACTCTTTTATTGACTCATTCGAACTTCCTTTCTATTCATTCGTTTTTCTACCTTTTTTCATTCCTACTCTATTCTTTTTTATTTACCTTCTTCTTCCTTTCCTAATTTAGAGAATCAATGTTCTGTTCCTCTTTCGTTTTTTATCTCTACTCTCTTTAAGTTCATCTCTTTCTCTATTTCTCTCTTTCTATATATATGTACACACACCAAAACACGCACACACTTCAATATGTGTTTCCTTTTCCTCCCTCTCTAGCTTCCTCTCTCTCTCTCTCTCTCTCTCAATTTATCTTCTACCTTTCCTTCCTACGGGCCTTGACATCACTAAATGATCGCCTCTAATTTATTGGCCATTCTTTCGCCTGAGTTGTCAGAGGGGGATGAAAAGTTCTGTACGCGCCATTATAGTTTCCTAAATGGGAGCTGTCCAAATGGTCATGGCTTTGGGCGGCCGTCATCTACCGCCGCTCGTGTCGGCACCGTGGCAATGGCACTCCAACGACCCGAGCCCTTTCTTATGGATTGCCCCCGTCGGCCAACTAACGTCTTTTCAATCTGAACTCGTCCACAATGCTGCTGTCACGTGCCCTATTTTAGAAGCCAGCTAGCCAGTTAGACATCATCGGCCGATTGGTGTACAGGGTATACGATGGTGAGGATGATGTTTCCAATGCGAGAAAAGGAAAAAGAAGCCGATTTGTTACATTTTTGATCAAAAATCAGTTGGTTACGCGGAAGGGCGGACGAGTGGCGGAGTAGATGTTCACGCTGGCGAGACTATATTACGGAGCATAAGGAAAAGGCAAGAAGAAGAAGAATCAAGGAGGATCATGGGAAAGAAATAAAATAAAAAATAAAGACGAAAATAATGAAAGAAATGGAAAGTGATAAATAATAATAATAATAATAATAATAATAATATTAAGAAGACGAAAAAGAAAAAGAAGAAGAAATCAAGGAGGAGCAGAAGATAGAAAAATAAAAATGGAGGATAATGAAAGTAAAGGGAAGTGGTAAAGAAAAAGAAGAAATCAAGAAGGATTAGGGGAAAGAAAAATGAATAAAAACATATAATAATGAAAATGAACTTTGTGAAGAAGAAGACGAAGAAGAAGAAGAAAAAAATCAGCGAGGTTGAGGCGAAAGAAAAAAGTTTTAGAATGTTTCGAAAATATCAAAAAAGAACAAAGCAATATTGAAAGAAGAAGAAAATAACAACAGTAATGAAAGCAAATCGAAAAATTGCATGTAAAACTAAAGAATGTTTACAAGTACGTAATGATATCTTGAAAATAGAAAAGAAAGAATTCCATATAGGATAGGGGGGGGAAGAATAGAATTTACAGGAAAATTATAAACGACATGAAAAATTGCGTGAAGATAAAAAGTGGAAAAGAATGTTTAAATTTCGATAGAAGAGGAACAGGAATAAATAGAAATGCAAAGAAAAAAGTTGTTTTTTTATATGCAAACGAATGAATAAATGCGAGAAGCATACCGAGGAAGATGAAGAAAAAATAGGAACAATAATTAAAATAAAACGACAAATTAAACGAAAGGCAAAAAAAAAAAGAAAAGTTGAAAGAAGATTAAGAAAAATCTTAAAACTGTGTAGAAATATTCCAATATAAAAAGCGCACAAAGAAAAGTTATTTCCAAGAAAATGAAAAACACAATGACAAAAAATAGCTGAACAAAATAAATGACAGAAGAAATCGACAAATAAGAAGAGAAAAATCATAATATAAAAGATAAAATGTCGGTTTTGATACGACCACTAAGAAAGAGAAGGAGGAGGGGAAAAAAGACTGAAGAGAATTGGACAAATGGACATAGAACCATGCTGGTTGGTTGGTTGGTTCGCCTTTCGGGCGGTCTGGCATTTTGAATCAGCGGACAGACCAATTGATTTGCAAAGACATATGAAAAAGAAAATATAGAAAAGATATTAATTGAGCAAAAGTCCTCCGCCTTGTTCGACACTGTCTAATGTTGACTTCACCGTGCCCGAACTTTATAAGGCATTTAACTCCGCCCTCTAACTAGTTTTGTTGATCATTTCGAGTATTCTTATAATTTTTTTTTTTTTTTATCACAGTTCTAGCGTTAGTATTTCTCATTCTATTCTTTATTTCTATCTTTCATTCTTTCTTTTCGAACGCTTTTCCAAAATGAAATGTATACGCAAGGTTTCATTGTATACTTAACTAACCGGACATCAACATGGGTCTGAGATTGAATGCAACGACTTGATTTGAAAAGAACGTTTAGACGTGGATTGCTTCGTTTTCATAACAAAATTGGCTGAGTTCAGCATAAAAGACTGGAAGAAGTCCAAGGGCAGTAGACATTGAATGGATGAAGAAAATATAAGAATAAATGAATCACTCGAATAACAAAAGTAAGAAAAGAAAAAGAAAAAAAGGACAAAACAAATTAGCCGACATTAGAAAGAAAGAAAGAAAGAAAGAAAGAAAGAAAGCAAAAAAGAAAGAAGGAAAATGCAAATCTCCGCATTTACAAGGAAGTAAGGAGGAAGGAAAGAAGAGGAGAAGGAAGGAAATAAATAAAGACGAAACAACGAATATCTACATTGACAAGGAAGGAAGGAAGGAATGAAGGAAGGAAGGAATGAAAGAAGGAATATGGAAGGAAGGAATAAGGAAGGAAGGAAGAAAGGAAGGAAGGAAGGAATAAGGAAGGAAGAAATAAGGAAGGAAGGAAGAAAGGAAGGAAGAAATAAGGAAGGAAGGAAGGAAGGAATGAGAAAGGAAGGAAGGAATGAAGGAAGGAAGGAATGAAAGAAGGAATATGGAAGGAAGGAATAAGGAAGGAAGGAATAAGGAAGGAAGGAATAAGGAAGGAATGAAGAAAGGAAGGAAGGAATAAGGAAGGAAGGAAGGAAGGAAGGAAGGAAGGAATGAGGAAGGAAGTAATGTAAGAATGAAGGAAGGAAGGAAGTAATGTAAGAATGAAGGAAGGAAGGAAGGAAGAAATATGGAAGGAAGGAATAAGGAAGGAAGGAAGGAAGGAAGGAAGGAATATTGAAGAAAGAAATAAGGAAGGAAAGAAGGAAGGAAGGAATAAGGAAGGAAGGAAGGAAGGAAGGAATAAGGAAGGAAGGAATGAGGAAGGAAGGAAGGAATATAGAAGGAAGGAATAAGGAAGGAAGGAAGGAATATTGAAGAAAGAAATAAGGAAGGAAAGAAGGAAGGAAGGAATAAGGAAGGAATAAGGAAGGAAGGAAGGAAGGAAGTAATAAGGAAGGTAAGAATGAAGGAAGGAAGGAAGGAAGGAAGGAAGGAAGGAAAGGGAAGCAAGGAGGGAAGGAAGGAAGGAAGGAAGGAAGGAAGGAAGGAAGGAAGGAAGGAAGGAAGGATGGAAGCATAAAGAAATAAAAAAATACAAACGTTGACAAAAAAGAAAGAAAGCACGAAAAAAGAAATAACGAAATAAAGAAAATCCAAATTTGCAAGGAGTGAGGGAGGAAGGCAACAAATAAAGTAAAACGAAACAACGAATATCTACTTTGACAAGAAAGAAAGAAAGAAAGAAAGAAAGAAAGAAAGTAAGTAAGTAAGTAAATACAAATCTTTGCATTTGCAAGAAAGGAAGAAGCGAGTAATAAGTGAGAATGGAAGGGAAGAAATAAAGTAAAAATTGAAAGAAAGAAAAAAAGAAAGAAAAAGAATTTTGCCAGAAAGGAAGGTGTCAGAAAAGAAAGAAAGAAAGAAACAACGAAAGAAAATACGAGTATCTGCATTTGCAAATAAAGAGTAAGTGAGGGAAGGAGGTGGATATAATGAGGAAAGGAGAGGGGAATGAAACAATAAAGAAAAAACGAAATAACTTCTTTGAAAAGACAGGAAGAAACAAACAATCAATTTGCGACAAAATGAAAGACGAAACAAAAATTCTCTATATTTACAAAAAAAGAAAGAAAGAAAATAGATGTGGAGGAAATGAATAATGATGAAAATATGAAAGCAAGTGTCAGAAAATTAAAAAAAAAATGAAATGAATAAAGTAAATATTGCCCAAAAGAATTGTGAAAAGATGTCTGAAAATCAAATAATTCTCTAGATTTTTATATGCCACTTTAAAATGGATTAGGGGCACTTCAGATAAAAAAAAAATGTATACGTCTTTATAGAATAACACAGACACATCCACCAGATGTAGCTATTTACATTTTATTCATACTAACATACATTGTAGACATATATATATATATATATATGTATGTGTGTGTGTGTGTGTGTGTGTGTGTGTGTGTGTGTGTGTGTGTGCATTTGATCCTCATCTCTTTTTATTCTTAGTGTAAATCTTAGTTTTTTTTTTATTTCCAATCGACCCATGTTTTGCTATGACCACCAGTATTTTCCTACACAGACACACACACACACACATATGTATGTGTGAGAGAGTGTTTGTTTTTGTTTTTGTGTATGTAAATTTTAAGATAATTAAACATGTAAACAGTGAATTGGGATAAATAATAGAAACATTCTTTACGATTGTCTTTCGTCCTCTAATGAACTTTATCAAAACACATGTAAGGATTTTATTTTTCAATAAGCATTTATAAACAGAACTAAAAATTTCCTTAAGTTTTCACAATTTTTACCAATCTCATTTTAACAACGCTCATAAAAAACTGTCCAGGTTAAGTGTGAAAGTTAAGTTAAACTATGAACGATGCTAACTGAATTCATTTTATGTCTAATAAAAAAAGGGCGTAAATGTCGTTGATTTTTATATTTTACTTATTTGTTTATGCATATTTGTTTATTTTTTTTAGTCTAATTAGTATTTATTTGTCTATTTTAATTTCAAGTTTTATTTGCGTTTATATTTATTTAAAATTAAAGTTTCCATTTAAACATTTTCTCTTAATTTAAAAAAAAATCATGATCCATTGAAAGTGCAATGATTTACTAGTAGCCATCCATTGTCATTTATATACGACCAGACTAATTCAATTTTCCTCTTGTTCTCTTTAAAGTAGGGCTGAAACAATGTGGGATTCGTAACCCTTGAGAAAATGTAAAATAAGATAAATAAAATCAAAACTCTCTTGAGATTTGGTCAAAATTGCATACAACGATAGATTTAAAGTCAACATTAAGGATTCAGCTGTTTATGATGAATCAAGTTCTTGTTTCGTTAATGGAATTTTTTTTTTCTTGTAAGATGAAATTATTTCTGATGACTCTGGTTTAAAAGCAAAACAACTCGGTGTACTAGTTTTCCAAGTTGTCATATACATACGATTCTGTTGGATTCTCATCGAACTTTACTTAAATACTCGCATACACATACACACATATATATATATATATATATATATATATATATATATATATATATATATATATATATATATATATATATATGGATTTGTGTGTCCGCTCTGGTCTTTCTCCATTTACGGAGGAGATTTCGGTTTGAAGAGTTGAACACCGCGGTGTTCACGAAATAAATTACAATTGAAACGGATAATTAAAGTCTCCGTCTTCTTCTTCTTATATATTTTCCTACACACACACGAACATATATATATATATATCTATCTATCTATATATATATATATATATATATATATATATATATATATATATAGATAGATGAATATATATATATATATATATATATATATATATATATATATATATATATATATATATATAGATAGATAGATAGATAGATAGATAGATAGATAGATAGATAGATATATGTATGTATAGACATTACTCAGCATATATAAAGTAGTCGAGCAAAAACACAGCGCATGGCCTGAGGATGGCGTTAAAGCATGAAACAGAATGTCGCAACTCGTTATTGACCTGTGTCCACTTTTTATATTGACCTATGCTCTATCTCAGTTATTGACCACATTTACATAAATACCACACACACACACACACACACACACACACACACATATATATATATATATATATATATATATATATATATATATATATATATATATATATATATATATATATGTATATATATGTACAAATAATAGTAAATATGCATGTTTTTCCTCGACGTACCAAATTTAATAGTATAAGTTTTAGCTCTGTTACTTTACATTGAGTACTTTTATTACCACTAGCACTTATTTACAATATG